ATAATAAATAATTATATAAATAAATATAAAAATTCAGATATGTAAATACATAAAAACTATGTGTTATGCATGTAAATATCTCAAAATTTTTTTTTTTACAACTTTTACACCTAAGTTTTTTTATCTTGCAATTTTATAAATTTGAGGTCTAAAAATAAAAGAAAAAAAATTACATAACAATATCTTGAAGTAATTTAAGTGCACTAATCTAAGCATAAATTTAAGTGTTATTAAATCATGTTGATGCAAATTACATCAATAAATTCTATTATAGTTAAAAAAAAAGATAAAAATTTAAAATTTATTTAAAGAGGAAAATCATGCCCAATGGAAGCTTTCCTTTATTGTTTGGAGGTCAAAATTTAAGTTTGTGTGCAGGATAAAGGTCTGGCTAAATAGTAAACATTTGTTCCCATTATTTCTCCATGACTCTCTGGTCGCTGTCTAAGGGGGTGTTTGGTATATGATTTACTAAACCCTTCGTTGCTTCGCAGGAGGTGTTGAGATTGCGCGAGTCGCTTCTTCGGCTACTTCCTTGCTGTTCGACTTCGCTTCTTCGACGACGTTCGCTTCCTGTCGGATCGGACGTTACAACATTTTGATCTGAAGCAACGACGGGAGCTCCCTCTCGCTCGCTGTGAAGGCAACTTTCTTCCTTTCGCGCGCTTCTTCGGCCAAATCCCGTAAATCCGACTTCTAGCGGGATTAGGATTTACCGGGATTTAGCGGATTTACGGCGTAAATCCGCAAATCCGGGATTTACGGATTTACCGCGCCATTTTTTGCGTTTGGCTGGATTTACCGTAAATCCTACTAAAAACTCGAAATAAATCCGATACCAAACACCCCCTAAAAGAAATAAGAGAAAGCGAGCGAGGGCGATCGCCGAGAGAAGTTGTGCAGCCTGCCCTCTCGCTCCTCTCTGTCTCTCTCTATCTATCTCTCCCTCGCTCCATATTTTATGGATTCCGATGAGAAAAGTCTCTGTAACAAGTGAGTTTTTCTTCTCCTTGATTTGTTTTTTTGTATCAGATGTTATGCATCAGTGCATTGGGGTTTTGTGATTAGAAGAGCCCGTGGGATTGGTTTTTGTTTGATGAACTTAGCAATGATGATGATTACATGTTTTATCTAGTTTTTTTAAGCAGTTGAAATCATGAAATCAGTTGGCATGCGTTGATTCTCTTGTATCTTTGATTTTCTTCTTCTTCTTTGTTTAATTATGGCTGATAAGCATTCAGAATGAGTATTATTTATTGAACTTTTGCGTGATTTTGCTGTTTTGATTTCTCGCATCTGATGACTAGAATGAGGATTAACGTGCTGTTGTGATGTTAGAGAGCAATGGGCAACGATTATTTTTGATGTAGTTGTATTTCATGCTAAATTTGAGTGAAGGTCTGTTTATTGTGATATGTATTTATATATACTTTCCTTTTATTTCGCGGAAATCAATTTTTTTAGGGCTACTAGTTTTTTGTTTCCGAATTCATGATTATTGTTTAAAACCTGCATTCTTGAATAAATGTGAACTAACTGTTTAAGTAAAACCTACTTTTGTAGTTGATTTCCTCCTTAGAAATGCCACAAAATGTTGCTCCACCTGTATTGTTCATAAACTTGATAACAAAATTGAACCAAATCTATATTCACAACCTAGCGTCATCCAATGTCACTTGGGTGAGTTGATCAATTCGCAGCACAATTATGAATCAGATTTAGCAAATCTCCAAGTAATTATACTCGTACTTATACTAAAAGGAAGCATTCATTTGAATTCGTCTATATCAATTCGTAAAAAACCTGAAGTTTCTAGAAGAGAGGATATATCCATTGAACTCAACAATTGAAATCGTCTAAGTTACTCATCCACACAAAATGAACTCGCCATTATATTGTTAAGTGATATTGCTATGGAATTGGCCAAATGAATCTCTACTTAAATGATCTAGACCTGAACAATGGAACTTATCAAAAGTTGCTTATGTATTTTGAAAAAAAATTCTAGAAATACTTAGATTCTTTTGTATCAAACATTGTTAAAAATTTCTATGTAAATTTACTTGTTTTACTCAAATGCAGCTCTTTTTTGTTGCACTAAATCTTGACGTGAACATATAGGTTGAGGTTTAGTAGGTGACTCTTAACACTTTCAATAATATTCAATGTCATTTTGACACATTTCGATTGAATGAGGCTATATATGGTCGCACTTTTTGTAGAGATCTAGTAAAATTCTAGAGTTCTTTACTTAGTTCTCTCGATCATTCTGTAAGGTTGTTCTAAGCTTGTTTGTAATTTTTTTGTATATCCTATGGATATATATTTTAATTCAACATCTTTTTAGGTGTGGTGAGTATGTAAGATGTCTGGAAGAAGGCGCCAAGCTATGGAGCATCTTGACGAAAGATAAATATCTCTACAAAATGACCAACAAGATTTTTTCACTTTCTAACGATTAAATCGGATGGATGATCAACAACAACAACAACAATAACAACAATCCTTTATCCCACAATGTGGGGTCAACTACATGAATCCTTTTTCTCCACTGTGTCTTGTTAAGTGTCAAATTCTCATCTAAATATAATAAATAAATTTCATTTCTAATATTTTCTAACCAAGTTTTTTTAGGTCTATCTATACATTTCTTAACATAAGTCAAATCTAATACATCTACTTTCCTAAACAGGTCATCGGAAGGCCGCCATTTTATGTGACCAAACCATCTAAAGCGACTCTCTCTAATCTTATCTTTCACTGGAGCTACTCCAACATTTTCACATATATGCTCATTTTGTATCCTGTCTTCTAGAGTAAAACCACTTAGTCACTTGAGCATCCTCATCTCTGCAACACTTAATATGTAGCTTCTCTTTTAATGGCCAACATTCTGCATCATAAAGCGTTGCAGGTCTCACTACCATCTTATAGAATTTTCCCTTAAGTTTGAGAGGGACTTTTCTATCACATAACAAGCTAGGGTACAACCTCTTGCAAATGTCTAGTGAGAACATCCATGATTAAAGCAAAAAGATATGGGCTTAAGGCTGATCCTTGATGTAATCCAACTGAAATATGAAAAATACTTGGTCAAACCACCTTTTGTTTGAACACAAGTAACAACTCTTGTATACATATCCTTAATGACTTGGATATAAGCATTATTAACTCATTTCTTATGTAGAACACTTCATAGCATTTCTCTTGGAACTTTATCATATGCTTTCTCCAAATCAATAAAAATCATATGTACATTCTCCTTATTCTCTCTATACTTCTCCATCAAACCTCTCAATAAATGCATAGCTTCTATAGTAGACCTACCTGGCATGAATCCAAATTGATTTTGAGAAACATTAGTGTCAGGCTGCAACTGATGCTCCATAACTCTCTCTCATAGTTGTAAAGTATGAAACATTAACTTAATTCCTCTATAATTCATACAATTTTGTGCATCACCTTTATTCTTAAAAATATGAATTAATACACTCATTTTCCACTCATCTGACATCTTTTTAGTCTTCAAAATAATATTAAAAAGTTTAGTAAGCCAAGAAATTCCTTCATCTCCTAAGCATTTGCACACCTCTATTGAAATATCATCAGGTCCAATAGCTTTTCCACACTTCATTTTCTTTAAAGCATCTTTAACTTCGATTTTACTAATACGTCGATAAAAACAAAAATTTTTATTTTTATTTAGGGTGTTAAGGCCACTAAAGTCAATTGCAATAACTTCACAAAATAGGTGAGGGAGTCATCAAAGTATGAAAGTAAGGAATTTGTAATTGCCCATCTTTGACGATGACGAAAAAATGAAGAAAGAAGAAATGAATTAATTCGAATATATGTCATTTAGATGGAACGAAGTATTTCGTGAGATAAAAATTTATAATAAATCCTTAGCTTGAAAGGGAAGTGAAATTGAGTTCTCTTAGGACAATGGCTTTTGAAACATTGTAATTCATTTACACTTTTTTTACTAAAAAATGAGTTATATGACATTTGTTTTTTTTATTTTTGGTAGAAGCTAATCTTTTGGCAAAAATGTCATCTTTGGTATTTAATATAATCATGCTCCATGAACATGCCGATGGTTAGTCACACTTGGGGTACTTAGCACTCGACCAACCTTAGGGAACTTGATAGTTGGTCAAACTAGGGGAATTTTGGTAATCTACTAAACTCAAGGAACATAATACTCGACCAAACTTGGGAAATCGTTACTCAATCAAACTCAGGGAATTTGGTACTTAATCATACTTTGGGAACTTACTCGAGGGGCTCAACTTCTTGGAAATTATTGAAGGGTATAAATGTTGAAGTCAATATTCCTTTTAAGTGTTGTTTGATTTGATGAAAAATGAGTGTAATGTATTCCAAATGCAAGATTTTAAGAATTTTTGTGTTTATTTTGATGAAAAAGGATGCATAGTAATTTTTTTGATGAATTTTAGCTTCACTCCATAGTTTATTTTTGATGTATTAAAGACTTATTTGATTTCGACTGAATTTTGAATACACTGCAAGTTGACTCTGTTGTTGATGCTAGTCGCTACCACTATCATCATTGCCACTTGCCACCACAACTAGTTGCTATCATCGCCTGTCACAGTTGTTGTGGCTACCGACCAATCATTATTTGGTTTTATATTGCATTCATTTTATTTGAAACTATACATAAAAAGTAATCACATTTGTTTATTTTACACTCATTCAAAAACTCCAAATATTTCAAATACGTTGATTTTTTTACACTATATTTCTATTTACTTTGCATTTTTTTAATCAAAACAAACATCCCCTTATTCAATTTGAATTTGTCCAAGCTTCAAGGAGAAACTTGAAATAAAGTGATCAAAGTTTCAAATGCAACTCGGCTTGTTAAGCAAGTTATAGATTAATGTGAATTGTTTTTTTTTTTTTATGTTTGGTGTAAGCTTTTTTTTTCTTTTAATTTTCAATTTAATTAGATTTTAAATAGTTCGATGTAAGTTTGTGATCAAATTGATCTGAATTTAGGGTTAAGCTTAAAAGTTGTGAGGCTACTCCCTGTAGGCAAGTTAAGGTCTCTAAGTAGACGAATAATCTGCATTTAACTAAGTCGCCCTAACATTTAACTATAGCATTAGTTTCATTCAAGAAATCAACAAGCAAAGAATAAAAAATGGTAATTTTCATTTATGAAGAAGAAATTACAATATTCCCAAATTGACTTACATGAAAGCACAAAATTACAAAGGTTTTAAGAATCTTGATTGCTTTTCTAAGAATTATCTTTCTTCGATTCCTCCACTCAACATGTTCTTTCTTTTTTAAAATAAAAGAAGTTAATACCTCATCTTACATAATTGATCACACCATGATTCTTCAATATGTTCAAAAATAAGACAATCCTTTCTTGATATTTGTTCTTGATCTTGTCCTTGCGCTCATCAAGTTCAACAAACTTATTTATAATTGTAATTATGGGAGTTTGTGAAGTCAACTTAGCCTTGTCTTCCTATGATTTTTTCTAGGACTCCTGTAACTTGTTATTTTGGGCTTAAATGAGCTAGTTCTTTTCTTGAGATTTCAGACTCCGCCGAAGAAGGCGGGAGGTTATTGATCTCACTAGAAGTTTGTCATTCTTCTTATCACCCGAAGTCTTTGAAGTTGCTACTTTATCTTTGAATTTCTTTTTAAAACTCCCTATGTTGACATTGACCTTATTCACAAAATTTTGCAAGATTTCTTTGTATTATGTTCGACATCCAAGGCTTTCTTAAGAGAAATATCTTCGCGCTTGGATTCTTAAGAGAAATATCTTTGCGCAAAGTAGAGTGGCTTATATGTTTTCCTACTCTTCATTGACTTTCTCAAGTTAATGCTTTTGCTGACTAACTCTTATAGTCATTCTTCATAAAAATAAAGTATGCCAAGTTGAAACTGACCTTCTCATTAGTGACATATGCAAGTCGATCAATGATAGCTTTTCAAGATGTTTATGC